AAAAACAATAAGATCAAGTCTACCATGAAACACAAAGTTCAGTCGTATTTTTCTTTTTTTTTTTTTTTACTGATCCATTGTCAGTCATTTTCAAAAGAACTGTTTTTATGTATAACTCTCAGGAAATGTAGTTACTGGAGCAACAAGTGTCGTTCCTTGTAATTCTACAGAGCACTGTTTACAGAATTCCTTCTTTTTCTCGTAAATGTCGCCTGCACAAAGCGCACCTCCTGCGAATCGAGTAATAAGCTTTTAAAATTCTACCCAAAACAATTACTATACACTAAGTCGCTTTTCACTGCGCGACTATATACTTTAGACTTAATTATACACATAAACATAATTATAATCCGGTACTGCGAATCATTATTTATACACCTTCATGATAACATGTTAGGAAAACAATATTTTAAAAAAATAACGTAATCTTCTCTTTAAAGAATTAGTAAATTTATAACTAATTTTAAATTAGTTAATATTTTTATCATTTAAATTTAAAAAGTTTTAAATTAAAATTTATTTTTAATTTTTAAATTTAAGAATGGTTTTAAATAAATTTAAAAAAAAAAATTTTTAATTCAAAGATTTAAAAAAACATAAACGTTAAAATAAGTTGAAATCATTTTATGTCTGTAGGTCAGTGATTATGTCGAACTTATATATGTTGATTAAAAATTCAACATTAATATTCTCTGCGAATTGATCGATAATCATTTGACTGTATTTTATTTTCTGATTTCTGAGAATAGCGACAAAACTCATTGCGCTATTATCTGCTGAGGTGAGATAGAAATAATCCTCATAAATTTTTTTTCCATTTGGAAATCACTACGATAAGAAAATAGACGTAAGGCATTTTTTTTTTGTTGCAAATTTTAACTATTCGCTAAACATTTATAGCTATACATAAAACATTTATCTAAGAATTAAGAAAGTTTATCTAAATTCAAAATTGTCTTTTCCTCGAACTCATCAGCTGTCAGTTTGCTTTCAACAAAAAACTACTCCCTAATGAAGAAATTAAAATTAAACCTCTCAAGCGCAAAGACCTCTTTTAAATTTAAGTGCTCCTCTCTTTTTCTTTTCAATAAAAAAAAGAAAAAAATGAACCATCAAAAAAGAACTCTAAATCAAGTTGTTTCATTAAACTGTCACGATAGAATAAATAGTTGGTTATTTTTGGTTGCATAACAAACTCAATAAATTTAGCAACGGGATTGTTTATTTTTTCTTATTAAAAAATGAAAATTTTTCGTTTATTAGAAAGAAGAAAGTTTCTGAAATGGGGTCAAAACAGAAGGTTGGAAAAGACACGAGATTGAAACAAAATTGTGTAAAGGGAAGTAAGTAATTTACGGGGAACTCGAGCGGTTTCACTCGAAATGGAATTAAAGATATTCCGAAAACACAAACCAGCCAGTAGTAGTAGTAGTAGTAGTAGTAGTATTCGTTTCGCGATGGCAATCGAGCGTATTTGTTATTCTCGTAGACAAGCCTGCGATTTTGCACTTCTCGCGATAAATCACCGTTACGCCATCTTTGCACATTCGCATGCGTTGTAAAATCAACGAGGCATTTAAATCAGATGTTTTTTACGACCTCGATAATGGCTCGCCTATTCTCTATGACAGTTCCGCTCTTTCATATCAAAATTGCAGAAAAAAAATAACAGTGAAGGCAAAAAAAAAAACTATAATGTACCCACAATGATGATAATAATCTGAATGTTCAAACTTTGAAAATAAGGAAATGTGTTAAATTAAAATGAAACATAAAATCTAGTCTAATAATTAAAATAGAAAAATACATTCAAATAAAAATTATTTGGTTCAAGTAAACATTTATTTGATTCAAGTAAACATTTATTTGATAATAGTTAATCGATTATTTGAATCAAATTTTGTTTGGAGAATATTAATAGAATAAAAATAGTGTTCTCTAAATCTGAATTAGTAAATTTTTTTAACTAATTTGAATTAGTTCAAGGTGTCTAACAAGGATTGAGAAAAAAATTCCCTGACATTTTTTTATTTTTCCCTAATTTTTTAATAGCCTTATTTCTGCTTTTTTTTGGCGAAAATATGGTTATTGACATATTTAACAATAAACTAATTTCTAATGGTAGTAACCATTCAAGTTTTTTTAGATTCAAAAATTTTTAAATTCACAAAAAATTTTAATTTTTGTAGAAATTTCCCTGACTTTGAATAAAATTTTCTGAAATTCCCTGACTTCCCTGACCGTTAGACACCCTGTAGTTACTTACTTTTTGCTATTTTTAAATTAATTTTTTCTACTATTAGTTAAATTTTACTAATTCAAAAGCAAAATGTGAATAATTCAAATTAGTTAAATTTTTAACTAATTTAGATTTAGAGAGTAAAATAGAATAAAAAAAGCCAGTTAAAAAAATCACAGAAAATTAAAAGATATTAAAATAAGCAGCAACGCTTATTTAATTTTAATCCAATTTTGCTTATTTTAATACCAAAATGGATTAAAATAAGCAAAATTGGATTAAAATAATAAGCGTTGCAGCTTATTTTAATGCCTATTAATTTTCTGTGATATTGTCAACTGTAGCGAGGAAAAAATTATATGAAATGGAAGAAAAAACATTTGCATATAAATTGTTTCCTTGAATTCGCAAAGATGTATTGTCAATTTCCAATTGACATAAAACATTTTTCTCTACACTGACAAAAAAATTTTATATTATAAATATATTTAATTTAAATTAAGTATATTAAAAATTTACTATTATTAAATAAATATTTATTTGTATCAAATAATTATTGAGTCAGGATATTTGTTTCAAATACAGAAATTATTAAAACAGTTTATTTAATTCAATTATTTAAAAGTAAATATTTAATAACAGTTTATTTGAAACAAATAAATTTTTTTCTTAAAGTGCATTCGTGAATTTCTTTTTTTTCTACATTTTGACCATGGCACGTGTCCTTATAACAAATAAAGTTATTTATTTCCGCGAATACAAATAGTCATATATAAACAATATTTATTCTCTCGTCACATTCTTCGAGCTAGTTTCATTATTTTTCATTTCATATAATAACGTCACGATGACATTGGCCTCTTATGCTCGCACATTATCATTTTTTTTTTCCTTCCACGAAACACAACTGGCTTTTTTTATCCTACATGGGTCGACAAGACATTTGAATTACGCTTCAAAAAAAAGAAATAATTTTTTTTAAATTCAACTTGCCATTTTCGTTTCAAATACAAATCTTAAAAATTTGAATACTGATTCAAATATACTTTGGAACGAGTCATAAATAATCTCCTTTGAGATTCCCAAACAGGAATGAGAGAGAGAAAAAAAAGAATCGAATAATTCCGCTAAATTTGAGTTTAGAGCAGGCAGAAAAGAGAGAGAGAGAGAGATGAGATAAATAAAAATTCGTGGAAGGTCCCGATTGAAATATTCTTCTCCTCTCTTGAGAGGATTGTTTCCTGCCATCTTTGGGAAGCATCATGCACCTGACTGTACAAAATTGGAACTCAAGTGTGAGGAGGTCCATTGGGAGACACAAAAATCGTATTTGACCATGAGACTGAAAAGACTGTGAAAAGAGGGACTTATAGGTCCACGCTACCTGGCTTCGACTTCTCGACAACAACAATTATCCTGAGAAACGTCATGGACAGAAAGAGAGAGAAAATTTTTCTCTGTCTCATTCTCACAACTGGTACAAGAGTCCATCTCTCACAAACGTAACTCGTAGGAATGCAGAGGGAAGAAGATGGAAGAGAGAGAGCTTTTTCTCGGTAACACAACTCCAGACACGAGTGGGAGTCTTCAGGGAATCTCGCATCGCTGTTTCATTTTCCAAGAGAAAATGATGGGAGGCTGAACAAAAAAAAAGAATCAGGAAAAACCATGAGAGAGAGAGAAAGTCTTTTCTCACTATCGATCTAAACATTATTATTATTATTACTATTATTATTATATTTTCAAAATTAAATCTCAAATTTATTTCAACATAAGATATTGCAAATTTCAATTTCCAAAATGAAAAAATGATGCATATTTCTGCCACTTTATTAGCAAAATAGATTTCAAAAAATTAAAGAATTTCGTTCAAAAATTACCAATTAGAAAATTGATTAATTATACATAATTATGCAAATGACAACAAAAATTAAATCGAATTATGCAATTACAAAACTAGTAAATCACTTAACTAATGCTTCTATAAATAATATGAATATAATTCTGAAAATCATGAAGCTAAACACATCGCGCAGAGAAAATACATTTTCGAGAATAAAAATCAGAATTGGAAAGTTTCTAGGAAACAATTATTATATTGCAATATTTTCGGAGTAAAGAGGCAGTTTTTTTTTTTTAATAAATCGATGCCATTTGGGTTTTAAAGACTTTTTTTCAGCATAAATCAATGTAATTGAGTTTGAAAATAAGGTGCACGTGCATGTAACGAGCATTAAACATATCCGGTCAATCGAACAAGACTCGTGTTGCGGAAATGCATTAACGCTTGTAAAACATCTCAATTTCCGGTTTAGAAATAATATAATCCTTGAAAAAAGAACACAATACCAAAACAATTGTTTACTATTAATCATATACATTCACTCTAATTGACTTTGTCTCGACACTGTATATAGGTCAGACCATCATTAACCATAGTGAAGAAAATTTTCTATTACTGAAACATTTTTCTTTTCAAATAATATAATTATTTAAAAAGACAAGCCTCTTGGAATCATTTTTTTTAAAAGATCAGAAATTAGAAATAAAAGTGGATCGTTAATATAAAAAAAAAGAAGGGACAATTTCAGAATTCCCAGAAACAGATTTCCTTGGTTCCGACGATTTCATGGAAAGTCAAAAAAAAAAAAAAAAAAATTTGCACTAGACAAACGTTCTTTTAAGATTTTTTGTCGACTTTATTTTTTTTTTTTAAAGAATTCAAAGATCATTATTTTCAGTTAACCAGACACTTTCTTACCTCTATGAAAGCGTTTTTTTTCAAGCTGGCAAATAGTTTCTCAGACGATGATTGGCTTTAATCCAAACTATATATATATATATATATATAATGTATCACAACGTTACAATCTCTTAAAGAGAAAGTTTCCAGGTTCCACAAATGTCCTTTAAAAATAACAGATTTCTCTTTCAGCCAATTGAATTTTTCATTTACAATATCACTGTAATGAGATTTTTTTTCTTCAAACGTTAGAGAAAAAAAATTACTAAATTTTTAAGTAATTAAAGTTTATCCAAACAGTGAAAAATGTTTTTAAAAAATCAACACTATTTTCACAAAGAACTCCACATTTTTGAATGTCAAAAAATGGTTCTTTAATTTAAAAAAAAAAAAAATAACCACACACACAAACAAAACTCAAACGTTGTTGTCCATCGACTGCAATCGACTGACGCAAACTGACGGCTTGCCTCGAGAGTGAATGAATCTATAATTATTGGAGCGGCTGCACGTGACGCTTGGAGGGGGGAAAAAGCACGAGGAATCGTGGGAGGAGGGAGCGACAATAGTGGGGAGAATCACATAAACCTTTTAGAAAGAGAGAGAAAGAGAGATAGAAAGAGAGAGAGAAGGGGGGACCTGGTGCAAGTTTTCACTAATAGTTTATGCAAAAAAAAGTCACAGTAAAAAACTATATCAAAATTTAAAAAAAAAATATTTTTTTATTTTTTTTTGCATGGAGAAAAAATTTTGTTTAATAATTCAGTTTAGAAGTAAAGATTTCCAAGTTTCTAATGAAATATTTTTGTAAATAAAATCATTAATTCCTTGTTAATATACAAATTAAAAACCCACATAAAAATCAAAATCAAGTAAATATTTTAAAGGATTTTTCAATAACATATAAAATAAAAAATATCAAAAAAAATATAGAAAAACAAAATAATTAAAAAAGAATTGGAATAAAATATTAAAAAAGTGACTTACGTCAGTATTGGCCTATAACAATACAAAAAAATTGTCTACTTACGACACAAACCAGTAACAAAGGGAAGCATTTTTTTTTGTTATTTTTAAAAATAGAAACTTCCTTTTGAATTAAATTAAATACACAAATAATTTTAACAATGACATAATTGTAAAAATATTACATATACATTCAAGAAAATTTATATATATAAATAAAATTTCAAAAGAAACTATAAAAAGAAAATAAATTTTATAGACAATTCTAAGAATAAATTGTATTGTGATTGACCCCCATTGAAAACACATGATAATTATTTAATATCCTTCGAGAAATGTCATTAGATATTCTGTATATCTCGAAGGATAAGACTATGTATATATGCAATTTATAACGGAACTCAACGGTTTTGATTATAATTTTACGACATACTATAATTCATAAATATTCTTCTAAACGATAATGAAGTAATGATGTTTTTTTGATTTGATCATTTCAATATAATAATTACTGCTTGATTTATTCCGCGAAACTCTTAACGAGGAAAGAATGAATTTTTTTTTTTTTTACATCATCTCATAATATTAATTTACAATTAATGACAATTGTGAGAATTCGTTAATTTTATTCTTAGGAAATAAAAATTATCATTAGAGATTCTTGGAAAGTAGACAATAAACAGAAAGCAATAGTATAAATGAAATTTTCTCTTTTTAAAACAAAAAAAAAAAAATGTTATTAATTTTATCATTATACCAGACACTTTTCTTTATAATTCACTGATTTTTTTACATTATAAATAAATGCAGAATTTTCACAGCAGAATTTCTATTTCACCGAATTTGTGACGATTAGTCTTAATAAAAAAAATTAAGATGAAAGCATCTCTTCATGAAACATTTTTTAATTTCGAGTACGTGTGGCTCTCTCTCTCTCTCACTTCAAAATAAAGATTGGATAATAAGGTAAAAAGCTCATAAAGAAGATTTCTAAGGTTCCGAGAAACCATAGTACTTAAGTCTTCGAAGAAAGAATCCGAGAGCAGACGAAAGGGGACGAAAAGTAGATGAAAATAGTCTCTCCTTTGGTGCTTGTTAAACCCTTCATGATTATACTATTCTCTGAGAAGTTGCAAGAATCCTCGAAAATGGACATCTCAAATTTCTATTTTCTACGAAATTCGTGATACTTGGAAAGTGTAGTGACTTTCATCCGGGAGGATCCAGGTGTTACTTTTGGTCCATGGGTTTCATGTTTACCGGATATATTCAAACCATCTGTCTTCCCTTTTCCCAAACCTCGCGCGTACTTCCACATTTCGTGGAAAGAGAAACTTTTCAACGAATGCAATATGACACAATTTCTTCTTCCTTAAAACGAGATCATTTATTGAAAAATGACTTCGACAAATTACTATACAGTGGGAAAATAATGAAGAAAATCTGATTTATTGACAAATTGATATTTTCTATTCTATAGAAATAACTTGAGTATAGAAGAAGACTATAAATGAAAATTTTAAAGGTCACTATTATATACGCTTTTTGATACAGCCCTTTTATTATTCTCTCTCTGCATTTACGCCATCGCCATCTCGACAGCCATCTTTCAAAAGGAAACACGAGACAGGCGTGTCTAGATCACAAATCTGTGAGAAGGAAACCTTGACATGATGCTGGAATGTCGTCTCTGGTATCGAATTTCAGATCCGATATGAATCCCTTGAAATATTATTAATCACTATGGAAATATAATAAGTACAACTTCTCTTTCTATCAATCAAGAAATAAAATTCATTATAACAAATAAAAAAAAACCATACTCAAAAATGAATTATTAAAAATGTAAAAAGATCAGAAATCAAAAATAAATATACACGAAAGTCTTTCACATTATTTTTTAGTCATCAAACAAACTTAAAAGTTTCCAGGAACAAAACTGATTGAATAAGAACCAATATTTGACGAGAGTAGTTCAAACTCTATATATATTTTTCTACAAATATGTACCCCGAGATAATGCATTATCACTATTGGAAAATTAAAACAAATCCACATTTAAATATGATATTGATCAGAGATCTAAAGAACTTTGCGTGCTGCGATACTTGAGGTAAAAATAAATGAAAATTTCAAGGAAGTAAATAAAAACAACTTTCCACTAAAAGACAGGTGAATATATATAAGAGAGCAATGTCCAGGTAAAATTATAAAGAGCCAAACACACAATATGGTTCTAATTTCTATACACAAAGATTTAAATTTCATATACCTCACAACACAATACCTTTGACATAATCCACACAATGACATACAATCGTACAAAAACTAAATCCTTTACTATTTCGAATTTGTATCATTTTACACAGTAGTCTACCAGAATATTTAATTCAGTTTTAATTCTACTTTATATGGGGCGCACAATTATTTTTTTATTAGATAAATATTTTTTGAATTTCTTTTTAAATGCATTTTTACTCAACAAAATTTTTAGGTAACTTTTATTTGGCAGAATTTCATTTTACCCAACATTTCATCTAAAACAATTCTAATTTAAGCGAATTTTAATTTAGCATAATTCTCATTCGACAAAAATGTTAAGTAATACGAATTTATAAATTTCTAATTCACTGAATCTTCATTTTTTCTAATTTTTATTTGCACAAATTCTTATTTGATATCATTTTTAAAACAACAAATATTAATTTGCCCGAAATTACAAGTGGCCGAATGCACAATCAACAGAAAGATTTGAGCGCAATTTTTAAAATAGACCAATAAGAAATTAATCCAGTAAATCGTGATTGGTAAATTTCAAAACCGCGCCAAATTCTTTATCTGCCGATTATTTGTTTATCCATTTGCAATTTCGGGTAAATGAAAATTTGTGGTGCCGTAATTTTCCCCAAATCTCAAATGTCATAATATTCATTTGACATAAAACCAGTTGACATAACCAATATTTGTCATAATTTTTTTGGTCATAATTTTACTTTAGCATAAATTTTAATTGACATACTAATTATTCAGCATAATTCGCATTTGACAGAATGTTTATTTAGTATAAGTTATATTCGGTATAACTTTCAATTGTCAAAATTTTTATTTGGCATAATATACATTTGTCATAATCTTTATTTGACATAATTTTCATTGATCATAATTTTAATTTGGCATAATTATCATTCATCATAAAATGTATTTGATATAATGTTCATTCGTCATAACTACTTTTTGACATAATATTTATTGGTAATAATTCTTAACTGGTATAACGCTAATTTAACATAATGACTATTGGACATAATGCTCATTTTTCATAATTCTTAATAATCATAACTGTCATTTGTAATAATCACTGTTTGATATAATGTTTATTATTAATAATCAGCAATTGACATAACGCTTATTTAGTATAATGTGTATTTGACATAATGTTCATTTGTCATAATTTGCATTTCACAAAATGCTCATTTGTCATAATTCTTATTAGTCATAACTTTCATTTGTCATAATTTTTATTTGGCATAATTATCATTTAGTATAAAATATATTTGATATAATGTTTATTCGTCACATCGATTGTTTAATATAATTTTCATTTATAATAATTCTTAATTGGCATAAATTCAATTTAACATAATTGTTATTTGATATAATGTTAATTTGTCATAATTTACAATTCTCATAATGCTCATTTGTCATAATTCTTATTAGTCATAACTGTTATTTGTCATAATTACTGATTGACATAATGTTAACTTTTTATAATAAGCACTGACATAATGTTTATTTCGCATAATTTAAGTTTGACATAATGTTCATTAGACATAATTTTAATTTGACATAATGTTCATTGTTCATAATTTTTATTTGTCATAATTATCATGCAGTATAAAATGTACTTGATATAATGTTCATTTGTCATAACTATTTTATGACATAATGTTTATTTGTAATAATTTTTAATTGGTATAACACTAAATTAGTATAATGTGTATTTGACATACTGTTCATTTGTCATAATTTTCATTTGACATAATTCCCATTTGTCATAACTTTATGTGTCAACGATTTTTTGCTGTATCTTCCCATCCTTGGTTTTTTAATTAGTAGTTTGTATATGTTGGTAAAGTAGATTAGGTGGCGCTGTCTAATATTTCTGAAATTAATTCTATCTTGCTTTTAAATGTGAAAATTACAATTTTAATATTGTACAATTTTTTAATGTCATCATTATTAATATGAATTGTCATATTATTTTTAAAAAAATGTAATTGAATTGTACAATATTAAAATTGTAACTTGGAAAAAAAAGTAATTTTTCATATTTAAAAGCAAGATAGAATTAATTTCAGAAATATTAGACAGCGCCACCTAATCTACTTTACCAACATATACAAACTACTAATTAAAAAACCAAGGATGGGAAATACAGCAAAAAATCGTTGACACATAAAGTTATGACGAATGGGAATTATGTCAAATGAAAATTAT